GGCCGCAGTTTGAATGCCCAACCAGGCTTCAAAGCCTCCTCTTTGCTCTTTCCAGCCGCAATGAAGATTTGGAAGAGATTGCTTCCACCGACCTGAAGTATCTGATGGTGCCAGCATTTCAAGGAGCGCTCACCATGAAACAAGTCAACCCCAGCAAGCGTCTAGATCATTTGCAGTGGGCTCGAGAACACTTCTTAAACTACTTAACTCAGTGCCAATACCACCATGTGGCAGAGTTTGAGCTGCCCAAAACCAAGAACAACCCGGCTGAAAATAACACTGCTAGTTCCTCCATGGCCTATCCTAGCCTCGTTGCTATGGCATCTCAAAGACAGGCTAAAATAGAGAGGTGGGTCAATAGCTATAATTTGAGGACTGCCCAGTGGCAGTGCTATTGGTGGGGGGTGGGTGCATGTTTTCTTTTAGAGGGGGAAACAATGGTGTATGTCACTCTTTTGGTTCTTAGTGAGCATAGGCCCTGGTGAGAGCAAACTCCTGAGTTTTTCAAGAAGCCTCTGCCTTTGTTGAGATGGTCATACCTAACCATCAGACCCCTACTACCTTATGGTTGCCAACAGCAGCAATGTAGTTTAGCATAGTGCTTCCCAATTTTTCCCACTTCACAGCATTGCAATGTTCATATGGTACAGTGGGTAAATATCTCTGAAGGGCCCAATGTCTTGTAGCTATAGTCCATTTATGGTCCACTGATTGAGAAGTTCTGTTGTAACAGTTCTGGATCAGGTGTGTAACATCCTGAACTAATCTTAGTCCTGGCACAGCTTCATTGTGTGACCTTGAACAAGTTGCTTATCCTCTTAGTTTTTATTTATTTATTTATTTATTTATTCATTTATTTATTTATTTATTTAGTGAGGAAGATCAGCCCTGAGCTAACATCCATGCCAATCTTCCTCTCCCTGCTGAGGAAGACCTGCCCCGGGCCAACATCTGTGCCTATCTTCCTCCACTTTCTATGGGATGCCGTCACAGCATGGCCTGACAAGTGGTGCCCCAGTGCGCGCCTGGGATCTGAACCCAGGCCGCCAGCAGCGGAGCACCCGCACCTAACTGCTATGCCACCGGGCCGGCCCCTTAGTTTAGTTTTTAAAAAAACATTTAATGAGTGTTCACAGTGTCTAGGAAGTATGCTAGGCACTGGGGATACAAACTGATTATGGGTGTTTGTATGAGTTATGGGTGGTCTCTGCCTTGGAGGAGCATACAGTCTGGTGAGGGAAAGAGGCATAGAGATGGTATCAGTATAAAATGATGTGATAGAGAGACGCACAAGGTACTGTGAGAACAGACAGGAGGGGCACCAGACCAAAGAGGGAGCAGGAGAGAGGAGAGGCTCCCTGGAAGAGGTGACTTCTGTGATGAGTTGTTTAAGGATAAATAGGGATATTATCTAGAGGAAAAGGAAAGGAGGGCATTAGCAAAGCTACAGGGGCATTAAAGAACACAGTGCTGGGGTGGGGATGTGTGGGTGGGGAATAACTGTAAGCAATTAGGTGATGCTAGAACACAAAGGAGGTGGTGGAGAGGGGGAAGGAAAGATGCTGAAGAATGTTGTAGGGACCAGAGCAAGGAGAGCTTGGGGTGTGAGGAAAGTGCAGGGACAACTTGGTTGCTAAGAACTTGGGAAGGGGTTTGAATCCCAGTTCCACCATTTTATCACTCTGACTTTGGCTAAGTTGCTTAATTTCAGTGCTTTAATTTCCCCAGCTTTAAAATTGGATAATAACAGGCCCTTCGTCTTAAAGTAGTTATGAAGATTAAAAGAGAAATACATAAAAAGCACTTAGCACAGTGTCTGGTGCAGTAAGCACTCAAAGTCAGCTATTGTTATAACTTTGTAGCTGAGTACAGGTTGTAGAGTCAGACCTGGGTTTGAGACCCAGGTTTCTTATAAGCCACTGGACTTGGGGTAACTTATTTAACCTATCTGAGCCTCAGGTTTCCTCATGTGTGAATTCTAAGTAATTATGGTACCTATCTCATAGGGTTAAGAAGCAAATAAGATAAAGTACATAAAACAGCTAGTACAGTATCTGGAACATAGTAAATATTCTGTTACCTACTATTAGGCCATGCTAAAGAGCTTAAATTTTGGTTGGTGATTGGGATCCACTGGAGTTTTTTTTTTTTTTGGAGAGTAGCATGGTCATATTTGCATTTTAACTGGCATACTCTGGCAGCAGTTAGGAAGCAATGTGAGAGCGAAGATTAGATCCAGTTAGGTCACAGAGGTGGTGAGGCCTCACTAAGGCAATGGCAGAAGGGATAGGAGGGATATATTTATTTAGGAGGGTTGAATCTGCAGAAAACCTGGAGATCACTTGGTCATGGGAGGTGGGGTAGAAGGAAGCAGCAAGGAAGATGTCATGTTTCTGACTTAGGTGGATTGCTGTGGAACTCATTAAGATGGGAAATAGAGGAGGAAGAATGAATCAGGGAGAGTATGAATTCGGTATTGAGACATGTTGCATTTAAGGTGCCTAGGAAACATCCAAGTAGAGGTGTCTGGTAGCATGAAGCTCAGGAGAGGCCTGGTCTAGAGAGCTGAATATTGATTCATTCATTTAACAAATATTTGTAGAGCATTTCTTGTGTGCCAGGAACTGTTCTAGGTAATGGAGAACTAGACAAAGTCCATGCCCTCATGGAGCTTTTATTTTGGTGGAGGAGACAAACAATAAGCTACTACATAATAATGTAATTTCAGGTGGTGAGGGCTATAAAGAATAATAAAGTATGGTTAGGGGCTAGTGAGTGATAGTGAATGATTTTTGGTGAAATGGGATAGACTGATATGAAGTGGAATTCCACATCATGTCCTTTGTAAGAAGGTGGTGGCAGCCCATTGGCATTAAACTACCTGTTATAACAGTGAGTTTGGTATCCAAATAATTATAATATACCAAAAAAAAAAAAAAAGACTGTAAATGCCATAGAGATACAAACGGTGTTGTGGAGAAAGACCAGGGAGTGATCATATCTGGTTGGAGGGATGAGGAAAAGGTTTCAGAACGTAATGGCATTTGAGATGAGCCTTGAAGGATGGTTGAAAATAGAAATTACAGATTTTCCTGAATGTAAAAGTAATACTCATTGTAGAAAGTTGGAAAAACAAGAATATTTTTAAAATTAAAAATAAGCCTTAATCCTAGCACTCAGAGATGATCTATGTTAACTTCCTGATGTATTTCCTTCCAGATATATAGTTAATTTAGTTAATAAATTTGGAATAATACTGTAAATAGTTTTTCATTTTTTTTAACCTCACATTATATTGTGAGCATTTCCCCATGTCTTGAAACCGTGATATTTGATGGTTACATGATATTCCATCCTATTGTTGTACCGTAATTATTGAAACTAATCTTTTATTGTCAAATACTTAGACTATTTCTGGGTTGTTTTTGTTTATTTTTGCTGTGCTAAGTAATGTTATGAACAAACATCTTTAACTGCATCTGTCACTCACTGTTTCCTTAGGATAGATTTCTAGAGGGACTGGTGACTAGATCAAAGGGTTTGAATATTTTAAGACTTGTTGGTAACAATATTGCTTTCCACAACAACAAAGTTTCAGAGTATGTCCTGCTGCACTGGTCTTGGAAGTTAACACTTAGAAAATCCAATTGAGCAAACAGAAAAGGGTATCTTATTGTTTTGATCTGCACTTCTTTGGATAGAAAGCTTGATCTTTGAACATTTTTTTAAATGCCTGACAGATGAGATATCAACATTATCTTTTTGCTAATGGCTCCCACATTTATATTACCAGCCCAGACCTCTCCTGACCTTCAGACTCATACTTCAACACCCTACGTGGATGTTTCACAGATGTCTCAAACTTAACATGCCCTAAATTGAACCCTTGGCTTTTTAGCTCACCAGTTGTGCCCCCACACCCAAGTCTTCACCATCTCAGTAAGTGCACCACCATTCACCCAGGTGTTTAAGCCAGAAACCTAGGAGTTAGCTTCAGTTCCTGCATTCTGAATCTCCACATCCAGTCCATCAGCAAGGCCTGTCAATTCTGGCTACAAAATGTATCTTAAGTCCTTCTGTTTCTCTCTATCTTTACTATCAAACCTTAGTCTAGGCCACCAGCATCTCTCACCTGCAATAGCCAGACCACTAACTACAAGGCCCTGCAGGATCTGGCGCCTGCCTCTTCAATCTCATCCTGTATCATAGTCCCCTTTTTCACTAGACTCTAGCCACAATGGCCTCCTTTCAGTTCTTTGAATAGACCCAGCCCCTTCCTTCTACAGAGTCTTTGTACATGTTCTCTTTGCGTGAAATACTCTTCATTTATCTGTCTTTCTGGGCTTTTCCTTTCTTCCCTACTAGACTATATACTCCATGAGGGCAGGAGCCATTTCTCTCTTGTTCACTGTGATATGCCTAGCACAGGGCCTGACATGTAGAAGGTGCTCAAGAAATATTGTTGACAAGCAGGAGGAACAATATGAGCAAAAGCACAAGGCAAGGTAGTTTGAGGTATGTACAGGAAATGGAGAATAGTCTGGTTTGGCAGAAGCTAAGAGTAGTGTGGTCAGAGGTCTGCATAAGGAAGTGATGTGTATGGAATATTGACAGGGAAGAGAGAGGCACAAAGACAAGTTAACATCTTATAATAGTGCTTCAGCTGGGAAGAAGTGATAAAAATGAAGTTATAGCTATCAGAGGTATTACTTTTGCGAGAAGCATGTATATGATTAGAAAACAAATTGTTCAGATCCTTATTTACTTTTGGTAAGTCCCCACTCCCACGACTTTACATACTGAGGCCATCCTACATAAAATACCTAAATGGTACATCCTCTCTTTCTCAAAACCTGTTTCTTCATGTATCTTCTCTAATTCCCATTTTTGAGGAGTAAGTGTAAGTCTGGTTGATTAACTGCACCTCTATTCTTTCGACGGAAATAGAGAAGTAGAAGCTGGGTAAGTAATGAGTCTAGTTTCAGATTTACTGAATTAAGGTCCTAAAGTGACAACTGGACAGCCATGTCTGTAGATAGATGGAAATGTGTAAGTAAAACTTATGAAACTGTTTTGTGGCTAGTGCTTAAAATTTAGGAGCTTTGGTGGGTGTGGATAGTTTGCCAAGAGAGAAAAAAGCCAAGGAAAAAACATTGGGGTAAGTTAAGGGACAAGGAAGGGGAAGGAGAGAGCAATTCAAGGTAAGAGACTCAAGAAGGTACAGATAGAAGTACTTATAGAAGACTGGAGAAGAGAGAGAGCAAGTGTCATGTCCTCTTTGAAGCTTCTCCCTACCCATCTCCCCTCCCAGGTACTATAGCACTTAGATTATGTTACTTTTCAGATGTAACTTTCTGTCATTCTCTAGACGTGGAACTCCTAAAGGTTAGAGACCTTGACTAATTGCATACTTAGTATCCTAATTGTATCATTGTATCCTTGGTGCCCACCCTAGTAATTGGATCATAGTAGGTACTTGAGGTATCTTTGGGAGGGGCAGATAGAGTAGTCATCAGAAAGATGGAAGCAATATGATGTAGCAGAAAAATCCTGGACTTGGGAGTCAGACAGACCTGGAGTGACCAATCCAATTCTACCACTTAATAAATGGGGCATCATCTAACCCCGCCTAGCCTCAACTTTCTCATCAGCTAACAATATTTGTTAGCTGCTTACAAAGCACTTTCATGTGTATTGTTCCATTTGATCCTCTTAACAACCCCATGAAGCAGATATTATTATCCCCATTTTAGAGAAAAGGAAATGAGCTCTGAGAATTGACTTGTCCAAAGTTACATGGCTAGTAATTGGCCAGGATAGAATTTAAAGTCAGGTCTTCAAATTCCCAGTTCTGGTGCTGTTTCCACTATAGCATAGAAGAGAAAATAGTGGTTATTTGAAAAGATGGAACATGGATTGAGGGAAGGTGTTTCTAGGATAGGAGAAAGGCACCAGTAGAGTGAAAAACTGTAATTGCTGATGACAGGGAGGATGATTGATAGAGTGAGGCCTGGAAGAATGTGGGTGGGGACAGGATTGGTAGCAAAAGTGGAATGGTCAAGACATTGCCTTGGGAAAGACAGCACTAGCTCCTTCCAGACAAGAGGAAAGAAGGAAAAGTGAAGCTACAGAGATTTTAAGGTAAAGAAGGAAATTGAATTCTACATTGGCTGGCTATCTGGTGAGCATGGTGGTGGCATGGAATCCACAGGAGATGAACAAAAGGATAGCTGAGCAAGAGTGATGGCTCAGCCGAAGTTTGATCAAACGAATTTGTAGGTGACTCATTTGACACAAATTTGTACTTCGTTAGTTCTCTTCAGCAGTTTGGGAACAGAAAAAGGGAATGGTGAAAGTTGCCTAGAGTGAGCAGGGTGACAGGCATCAGGGATGATAGGATGAGAGGGAGTGTTTCCACATAATGGCTCACCATCGGCAATCTAGAACAGTGATGAAAGTCTAAGACAGTGGGTTTTAATCTGTTCCTTGGAGCCCTAAGATTCTATCGCAGTGCCTGAGTAAGGGGGATGTTGGGAGCCCTCCTCCGATTTAAACAAAGCGGATTTTATCTGTTTATTACTTATTGGAGTTCCAAATAAGCTCTCATAAGAAGAAAAGGTTCTTCTGCTAAGACAAAAAGGTTTTAAAACAGTGGCCTAAAAGAACAGTTGAGGAGCTAGAAGTCCTAAAGATGACAAGGAGCAAAGTCATAAGAGTACAGAAGTAGAGAAGAAGGAAAGCCAGAGAGTGCAATTAGACTGTACGCATACGGAGAACGGGAAAGGAAGCGCAAGAATCTTAGTCAAGGGACCAATAGACTAATCCAGAATTTACCCTGGATTATATACCTTCCAAGACCCCAGTATGTTTTTTTCCTGACTTAGGTACATCCAGGAAAGAGGATGGGGGTAGGAGTGGGACTGGAATTATGTGTTCTCAAGTGATATCTGTAATAGCATTCAGGAACTAGAAATTAACCTTTGTGGTGTTTTACTCAGAAGGCTACCTATGATGATACTGTGACAGTTATTTGTAACGTTATATAAAGTACCCACTTGTTAGGTAAAGGAGCAGAGGAGCCTAAACTTTTTTATAATAAAGAATGTTTCCAGAGCAGTGGTTCTTGACTTTTTGTGGGTCATGGACCTCGTTGAGAATTTGATAAAAACCACAAAACTTGTCCCCGGCAAAAAAAAAAAAAAAAAAAATGCATCCATGTAGAATTCTGTATAAAATTTCAGGAATTTCAAGGACCACACCCCCACTCCAAACTGTCCATGGACCTCAGGTTAAGAACTTCAGGTTTGGGTGAACTCCTGCAGAGGAACGTCTGATTCTGGAGGTCTAGAGTGGAGTTCCAGACATAGAGATTTCAAGACACTTCTCTTGGAAATCGTGGAGTTTTTCCTTGACTCCTCTCTTTCCCTCAAGCCCTTACATCCAATAAATCAGCAAATCCTGTCTGTTTTATATTTTAAATACATCCACATCTACCTATTTCAAGTCACTATCTCTTACCTGAATTGTGGCAATATCCTCTTAATTGATTTCCCGGCTTCCACCTCTGCCTCCCAGCCCTCACAGTCTACATTCCACACAGCAGCCAGAGTGGCCCGTACAAAAAAAAGTTTTTATGTCACTCTATGCATGTCATGTATTCTATTTGAAAGCCTCCAGTGGCTTTCCCATCTCACTCAAAATATGGCATTTGATATTTTGGGTCTTATGGCCTACAGGGTTCTACAAATTATGGCTCTGGCTATCTCTTGGACCTCATTTCCTATCATTCTTTACTCCATGCCAGCCACACTGGCCTCCTTGCTATTTCTCAAACATGTCAGGCCAGGCACTCTCCCACCCCAGGACCTTCGTATTTGCTTTTTCCCCTTAGAACACTCTTCCAGATAGTGGCATGGCTTGCTTCCTTATTTCCTTGAAGTCTTTGCTCAAATGTCACCTCTTCCTGATCACCTTGTATGTAATAGCACACTTTTGCACCATCACTCTATCCACTTTACCTTTCTTTTTGCTTCTTCCTGGCACTTATCACCACCTGACTCATCATCTATTTCTTTTGTGTCTTCTCGCACTAGAATGAGAGCTTCAGGAGAGCAAGGGCTTTCTTGTATACACTGCTGTGTCTCCAGCACTGAGAACAGTTCCTGTCACACAATAGGTACTCAGTAAATATTTTTCAAAGGAATGATAGATGACGTTAGAACGCATCCTGAAAAAGGCAAGCAGGGTGGTTATAAGTCTTTATATTAGGATGACTCAGAAGAGCTGGGAAGGTTTTGTCCAGAAGAAAAGAAGAGATGACCATTTTTTAGGCTGTTTCACAAGGAATTCCTGTATCAATGGCAAGTAAATGAGCCTTAAGATTCTCTGATTCTGGGCCGGCCCCATGGCTTAGCGGTTAAGTGCGCGCGCTCCACTGTTGGCGGCCCGGGTTCAAATCCCGGGCGCGCACTGACGCACCGCTTCTCCGGCCATGCTGAGGCCGCGTCCCACATACAGCAACTAGAAGGATGTGCAACTATGACATGCAACTATCTACTGGGGCTTTGGGGGAAAAAAAGGAGGAGGATTGGCAATAGATGTTAGCTCAGAGCTGGTCTTCCTCAGCAAAAAGAGGAGGATTAGCATGGAATTTAGCTCAGGGCTGATCTTCCTCACAAAAAAAAAAAAAAGATTCTCTGATTCTTTGAAGCTGTAATTCCTAAATGGACAATGTGTGATACTGAGCACCCAACCTATAAGGGTTGATGTAATGAAATGACTAAGGCACTCCCATCTCTAAAGATGATGGGAGGAGTTGCTCAGATCAGGTTACTTCTATATTTTTCTGGCTTCAGAATATATTTCTCAGCCCCTGCTGATCCCTTCCTTGCTTTATAGTCTTGAAAGAACTGCCTTGGTGGCAAGTTCTAGGGTGTAGAATCTGTATTTTTGCCCAAGTGGAAATTGGCATACTTACTGCCTGGTCATTTGCAAGGTAAGATCTTATTGTGGCCTTCTTTTGAAGGAATACCTCTTTATTTTTAAGTTCATGGGTAATGCTTTTCTGTGGAACAGATACAAGCAGAAGAAGGAGGTGGAGCATAGGTTGTCTGCGCTGAAATCTGCTGTGGAAAGTGGTCATGCAGATGATGAGCGTGTTCGTGAATATTACCTTCTTCACCTTCGAAGGTGGATTGGTATCAGCTTAGAAGAGATTGAGAGCATTGATCAGGAGATAAAGATCCTGAAAGAAAAAGACTCTTCAAAAGAGGTAAGCCCGGTTACTGCCTGTACAGCTCAAAAAGCCACTATCAGATATTTGAATGTTCTACAGGAGTGTTAAAATCCTTTTAAGTCTCCTTAAAATCATTGTTCTTATTATGATTAATGGAGGAAGGCTGAAGGTTCGCTAGGGTAGCTTTCTCTCTAGCTTGTAGTGCTCCCCAGTGCTTTCTAACCTGTAACACACTTCTAGTCATTTGTAATTTTGTGACATGCCATGGGGGAGGGAGACTTCTCTGAAGTAAATATTGGTTTTGGTTGTGGGAAGTCATGACTGCTGAAGGAATGCATAGGGAGGTACGCCTTTAAAATCTGTGCTTGACTGTAATAAACAAAGGGGAAAAGGAATAGGATGGGAACAGAGAAGAAAAGTGGAACTGGAGGAGAGAGAGAGAGAAGGTAGAAAGAAGATAAAACGAAAGACGGAATGTGTTTAGGTTGGGGGAAGAATCCGAATTTAACCTTACACAATGTTGCACTCTCATATCTTTAGATCACCCAAGTATGAGACACAGCAAGGACATCTCCATGCACAAGATGTCGGGTATACTGATAAAGAAAACCTGGTCTAACACAGCTTTGGCTGTCTTTGAAGATCATCACCCTCTTTTGGAGCTACTGCTTCAAAATATTAGGCTCTGCTGCCACTTATCTTTGCTTCAGCATACAACATGAATTGAGTTGAATTTATCAGCTAGTCACAAACATTTATTTAAGACCTCAGAGAATTCTCTTCCTAATTTGATTCATACTAATTAGCCCAGGAGCTTTTGCCTCAGGGTAGCATCAACTTAGTTCCTTACGTTAAAGGATCAAAGAATGAACAATTAGTAGTCTAAGGCCATAAGGCCCCTTGAGCATATCTAGATGAGTGGTTTTCAAGCATTTTGAAACTCTTCTGGGTCCTCCCCTGTCCCTTCCTTTGTTGGTTTTTTTTTTTTAATGCTCTCTTATTTGGTATTGAGATTGGCTCTGGAAGTGATGGAGCTAGAACCAAGTGAAAACCTTTTCTTTGACCATGCTTTCTTTTAGTATGCCCCTGGACAGCCAAGGTTCCTTGAAATATTTCTATATGAAAACTGCTAATCCACTCTCCCCTGCCTTGCATTTAGGAACAGCTGCTTCTAAAATACCCCAAGGGTTCTTGACAATTAATAGCATAATTACACCGGAAGGGGTTTTAGAAGAAGGGTCTTAATAATTCAACTTTAGCACTGAAGACCAGGCTGAGGAAAGGAGCTTCAAATTCAGCTCATGGGATTTAGATGGAACACGGAAGAAGGCTTTGGAATCTCCTTTGGAGGGGGGTATTTTAAAGCGAGGTAATTTTTTACTTGTTGTGAGATGATTCCTGGGAGAGCTTTCTCTTCCTCCTTTTTCACTAAGGTACTCAGGCCTCCTCAGGAAGAGCTAAGCAGCCTCCACCGTTAGTATTCTGCTGCTATATCTTAGAGATTGATGAATAGGAAGTGGGTAAATTTTGAATCTAGGGCTTTTCAAGCACCTGAAGACTTAAAAGCCTGCCTGCATAGTGGGGTGGGAAAAATGGCACATGTGCTTCTGATAAGTAATTTCCTTTTTAGGCATCAACTTCTCACTCATCTCATCAGGACAGGCCTCCAATGAAACCCTTCATTCTCACTCGGAACGTAGCCCAAGCCAAGTAGGTAGTAACTAAAAAGTGGATTGCCTTTGCAGGCCCTCTGGCTTTATGGTTCAGTTGCAGTGGATGAGTAACAGACAGAATGGGCATTGTTAAAAGGTCAAGGCTTTACCTGTGGGGGCTGTTCTTTCATCAAAGGGATGTTAATCTCTTGTAATACTTTCTCTGTGTCTGTCTTCATCAGAGATTTCTCTCACAAACTTGAGCTTAAAAATAGGCTCGAAAGAAAACCAACAAAAATAAAGAGAAAGAAAAAAGGAATCTAATGGAGAATTGTATACTTTAAAATTGTTTCCCATTATTATTGCCTTTGACTACAATTCTCAAAAGGACATGTTTGCCTATCTAGGTTTTAATTCTGAGGTCTTGAGATGCTTTTCCATAGGGTCGCAGGAGAGTCTCCTTCCTCTGTGTACCTTTTAGACCTACCAACTCTAAATACCCCTTCCACAGTATCTTCACTGCTCTGTGGGGCATTTGCCTCTGGAGTTGCTTCTTGGGAGATGATCCTGGGCTATTTATCTTCTCATGAAAGCTCTTGACTTTAATGCCCCTTCCTGGATGCTTCTTTTTACATATCCTCACAGGGGTTTGCACAACTCCACAGAAGATAGCTGGGTAGGGGAGCAAGGATGAAACAGACACAGGCTTTGTCACTAAAGAAAAAGGCTTTTTTATTGTGCTATTTATGTTTAGTTTTCTAAATGCAATATGATTCTTGCAGAGTATTTGGAGCTGGTTATCCAAGTCTGGCAACTATGACGGTGAATGACTGGTATGAGCAGCATCAGAAATATGGAGCATTACCAGATCAGGGAATAGCCAAGACAACACCAGGTATGAAGGGGTAGGAGGAAAGTAGTTATACTACTGGTTCCTTAATCCCAGCAATTAAATTCAGACCAAGTATTGTTGCCCTTTAGGAGCAGAAGTAATCTGGACAAAGATTCTGAGTAATAGATTCTAGGCAGTATTTTATTTTATTTATTGTTAAAATAAATAGCAGATGATTCTGGGAGGATGGGGCAGTGGCAACATAGTTTTTGAATCTCTCCAAATATCATGGCATAAAAACAGACTGAGCAGCTAGATAGAAAAACCAAAAATCCATGGATAGCAGTTCTGCTTCTGGTAATGGCAGAGTAGGTTGTATCAGGGCAACCCTTCCTACAGATAACAATTTACAAAATATAACAAAACAACTACCTGAAGGCACTGGAGAGCAACCAAAAGCAGATGTAGACCAGAGGGAAGTCAACACTTAGAAAGGAATAGTACTTGGAATTTCTTGAGGGTGGGGACTTTAACTTCCTCTATTCTTGGTGCCCAACTTGGTAATTAGATCATAGTAGTAAGTACTTGGAGGTGTCTTTGGAAGGGAAAGGTGGAAAGGGTTGATGTTAGAAAGATGGAAGCAATATGGTATAGCAGAAAAAGTATGGACAGACCTGGGGTAACCCATTACTCCTACCACTTAATAGATAGGACATCATCTAGCCCCTCTGAGCCTCACTTTCTTTATCTCATGTATTATCTCATTTGATCCTCTTTAACAACCCCATGAAGCAGACATTCTTATCCCCATTTTAAGATGAGGAAATGAAGTCTGAGAACTGACTAACCTAAAGTTAACATAGCTACAAAGTGGCCAGGCTAGGATTTTAGTTTAGGCCTTCAAATTCCCAGTTCCAGTGCCGTTTCCACTATAGCACAGAAAAAAGAAGAGTGGTCACTTGAAAGAGTTTCTTGTTTTTTATAGCTTTTCACCCGTAGGCAGGCTGCAGCTGCTGTGATGTGAGGGTAGGTAAAACTTGGATAGAAACTTGCAGTCTGGGCCGGCCCCGTGGCTTAGCGTTTAACTGCGCGCATTCCGCCACTGGCGGCCCAGGTTCAGATCCTGGGCGTGCACCGACACACCGCTTCTCTGGCCATGCTGAGGCCACGTCCCACATACAGCAACTAGAAGGATGTGCAACTGTCACATACACCTATCTACTGGGGCTTTGGGGAAAAAAAAGGAGGAGGGTTGGCAATAGATGTTAGCTCAGAGCCGGTCTTCCTCAGCAAAAAAAAAGAGGAGGATTAGCATGGATGTTAGCTCAGGACTGATCTT